TATTGACGGAAAACAGTTGTAGGTAAAAGTTCCCCATCTAAAACGACGGATCCCTGAAGAAGGTGATGGCATGGTTCTCACTGATTCGTCCATTCAAACCATTGGGGACCCACAGCGCGCGCGTTTTTGACATGTGGCCATAGATCTTTATTTGCCTTATATTTATTTTGTATTATTTTGTTAACAATTAACACGCTTGATTCAGTTGGCAAGGCAGGGCATGATAAGGCTTTAGTCTAAAAGGGGGTGGGTTCGATCCAGCCCTTTTGCAAAGTTAATTTTAACTAATTTGTGTCTTCAGATCCAATGCTCCAGGTCCCTGCGCGCTCCTCATGCACTTCCATCACCATACCACAAGATCTCATCATATCCAGATCTAACACTTAACACATGCAGACCATGGTGAACCCTCAAACGTGGCCAGTACTGGATCGTAACGCCTGATTGGGCCAAAGGATTTGGGCTCAATGAAATTAAGGCGTCACACCTCCCACTCAGCTTTCATCACATGCCCAAGTTCTTTTTCTCTTTTCTTTATTTATTTTCTAATTTTTTTAATAATTACTTCTTTTACAAAAATAACAGAAAAAATAATTTTTTATTTAATCAAAAAAATCATAAAAACATTAAAAATCATTTATTTTCATAAAAATATTTTATTTCTTTAATTAATTAGTTTAATCAAAATTAGGGAAATTTAATTCTTTTTTATAATTAAAATCACTTAGAATTAGGATTCAATTTGTACATAATTCAATTTTTTTCTCAAAATTAACCTAAATCTTTTTTTTTCAATTAGATTTTTTAGGTTTTGCTAATTATTCTCGCATTTAATTCTCCGCTCGTTTTTAATTTCCTTTTTATTATTTTCGTAACTGCTCCGAGTTTGTAATAGTAATTAGGATTTTCAATTCCGCATTTTTATTTTCAGTCCAAAATAATTATGTATCTACAAAAGCCCTGTAATAGCTAGGACTTTTAACTTTTCCACATTTAATTTCCGCAAACTATAAACTGCTTAGATGTATGTTAATAGGATTGTATGGAAAGACTAACTAAAAATTAATACACTAGAAAACCCTAAATGTGCAAAGATAAATTAACTGAAAATTACACTCGCACATGCTCACTCCTAGGGTTTACTCCACTCCGGTTGCCTTCAGTAAACGGTCATGAAGTATAGGGTTTGTTAGTGGTTGTCCTCTAGCCCTAAAAGATCTAAAATGACCCATTCGGATGTTGCCTCGGAAAAATATATTTAATGCTTTTGGATGATTACTAACATTTCCTAACATTGCTTTTGTGATCGTATTTGTCCCTTCGAATGTCCCTAAAAAACTCCAACGACGATGCTACCTATTTCTCAATAATGGGATAGCATTGTCTACAAGGAAAACGAACAAACCTTTTTCGAGTAGGTAGATTAGTTCCTAGGTACTTGCTCAAACAAACAAAAACTTTTTCACACAAACACTTTCCAAACAAAGTTTTTCAAAAACAACTTCGTAACACTTATGAGGACATAAATAAGGGTTAATAAGAAGTAAAACAAAACTTTTCAAAACAAACATACACAAGCAATTTAAAAATGATCAAGTACCTAAGAGCTCGTGCAAAACCACTGATAGAAAGGGTGCTAACACCTCCCTTTCTATAATCTACCCCCCGTACTCAGAAACATCTCGAAAAAGGTTTTTCTGTTCTTTTTCCTTTTCCTGATTGGATAAAATAAAAGTCGTTGGCGACTCTTGCTTACTACGACATTTACAAACAAAAAACGCAAACCAGTATTAACAGTCGGTTCTGCCACCGTATCACAGATATGTCAAAATAGTTTGACACATAAATATGAACATGAATGTATGCATCAAATTCATTTAAATTGCATGAATTAAAAGTTTGATATTGAAGACGATTACCAAATCGGTGATGTTGAGGGAGATGATCTGGGATACTACGAGCTTTAGGGATTATTAGAATGAGTTCCTGGAGTCTTCAGGAAGCTTGATTGATTCTTGGAATGGACTGAAAATCGTGGGAGATAAGGGTTTGATCGTGCCCTAGTTCTTGAAAAATTAGATATTTTTTAGGGTTCTTTTTGAGGAAGCCTTCGTGTTTTTTGATGTCTGAAGGTGTCATGTATTTATAGGAGTGATTTAGGTCAATATTTGAGAGATAAAATCTTGTGCAATCATGGTATAATATTTAATTTCAATTTTGCATGAAAATTTTCTCTTTTAGGCTCAATCTTGTACCAATCATCCTCACATGGTTTTTCCATGTTATCATGAGCTTTTTGGGCTTCAAATCCGATCAAAACAAAAGTCCACACACCTTGTATCATTTATTTGGTATTTTATTTGATTTATTTTAATTTTAATTGAATAAAATAAAAATAAAAAGAAATAAAAACCACATAAATAAATGAATGGATTTAAAGGTCCTTTATGAGGTCATGAAAACGTTTGAACCTAAAGACTTAGGCCCATTAGCCCAAAAATTCAAGTTTGCTCAATTTGGACTTCATGCATTTTCTCAAAATTTCCCAACTTGCATAAATTATAAATCTCTCAATTTTTGTCATATGAAGATGATCATGTAATTTTAGGAAACCTTAAGTTATCTCCTTCAACTTTCATTTTGGTCATTTTTTCATTTGAAGTCTTTAACTTTATGTAAATTTCTTTGACAAAAGATGTTTTTTGTTGACTTTCAAAATGACCTGAAAAGTTTTGGCTCATATATCTCAAATGAAGCATTTTTGGCCTTGAGCTTAGAGAGACAAAGTTGTACATAATTGAATTTCCTTCAAGTTAGGATTTTATTGAGGAATTTCTGATGAAGTATCTGGAAGTTATGCTTGGTCAAATTTCAATTGACTTCTCCTTAAGAAAATCCTAATTTAGTAACTTTTAACTTTTGATGAATCTTGATTTTTCTTGATGAATCATGATCAACCCTTAGATTGGCATGCTTGTCTTTCGTGATCTGAAGGTGGAAGAATATTGAACACTTAAGTGCCCATAAATATGCAGTCACATGTGCACGAAGTAACACTACGGGTTGATTGTATCGGGAATGGGCTTAAAGAAGCCATTTAGAAAAGGTGACGGGATGACGTCGGGGATGGGATTATAGATGCCATCCAAAGTAAATATTGATATGAGTATCAGAATAAGTCTATGCCCGACTGTATCTCAAAAAGTATACTAGAATGAGTATGTGTCCGATTGTATCTAGCAGATATACTGGGGAGTGTTAGAATGAATCTTATGTCTCGATTGTATCTGAATGATATTCTAGAATGAGTCTGTGTCTTGATTATATCTATAAGAGGATCAAAATGAGTCTTTGCCCGACTATATCTGAAAAATATATTGGAATGAGTATACGCCCGACTATATCTAGAAGTGGATCAGAATGAGCTTCACCCGACTGTATCTGAAAAATGTACTAGAATGGGTCTCAAAATGAATCGATATCTCGATCGTATATGAACTATATCTAGAAGATATACTGGAATGAGTATCAGAATGAATCTATATCTCTATTGTATCTGAACTATATCTAGAAGATGTACTAGAGTGAATATTTGTCTGGTTGTATTTGAAAGATGTGTTTATCACAATGAATCACTGTCTGATTTTATCTGAAAAATGATAAACTGTTGATAATATCTATCTGTTTGGGAACTAACTTGATAAGAAAAAGTTTGTTTTATGCGATGTCATGATGCATGATATGTACTTTGTAGTGATGCTCTCAAAATAAATGAGAATAGTATATGCGTTTGTAATACCCCAAATTTGTCCTACCCTTTTCACTTATTGTTTGGCTTAGGCTTTTGCATTCATCTGCATACATTTCATTAAGTGATTTGCATAGCATGCATTTTTATTCAATGAAGTGCCTGAGGTTGAATGTTTGGTGGTTGTGCGATATTAGGGTTTCACAATGGTTAAGGTGTTTGTATCCAATGAAGCCTAATTCTTATGATTCTTATGATTCTTCTGTTTCTTCTTCAAGCAGTAAAGTGAGGAATTATGGTTTCTAATCCTCTATGGTCAGACTTGGTTGGGTTTTCATCTGAGGTGTATTTCTAATTATGATCAGTTGATTTTCTCAAGGATGAATATTTAGATTTAAGACTTTCTTTGTGGAGGGTGAATTAAGTCATCTTCTCCTATGGGGTTTTCATCCTTTAGTCAAAGTATGGTTTATCTGGTGATGGCTATTGGAGGCTCATCTTTCATCAATTCAAGGTGCATTTGTTGTTTAAATCACAAGGTATTGATTATGACATTGACGCATTGGATTCATCTATTTAACAACCAATCAATTAGGGTTGTCTATATCATGATTCAAGATACTTTGTTTAAAGGCCTGGTTGCTCGACAATCAAGGCATTATCATTGGAAATTCAATCGCGAGATTAGGGTCTCTAATAAGATGCGAGCATAGAAGGCAAGTTGTTTTTGAATGCATTTCTTATGGAGAGCAAACACAAATATAAGGGCTAATGCATTAGGGGTTAAACATATCATAGGTCATTCAAGGCATGGTTCAGGTTATCACTTTCAATACCATTCAACATTGTTTTTGATTCCAAGTTCATCAAAATTCATTCAACAATACTCAAGTTGTGATTCATGATGTGATCCATTCAAGTGGAGTTCATTCGAAATTCAAGAAGCAAAAATATCAAAATAAAACTAGTTCATCCATTGACTTCATTCAAAAATGATTCAAGTTCATTTCTGTTTCAATTATCGTACATCATGTTCATTACACCATAACCATCACGAATCTAGACACCATTAATCATTTTGAATCCTTGGTGAATTACAAGTTAAAGTACAAGGTGGTTTCATTTCAAAAGCTATTAAATTTCATTACAAACATCACGAGTTCATTATAAATTCTTCACAAGAAATACACAAAATCAATCAGATTGTCTAAATCTAAAGTCTAATCTCCAAGCTTCCATGCACATCTTTGATTCACCCTAAAACATTGCTATAACTTGCACCAATACATGCTGCCATATGTTTCGGAACAGGGTGCTTCAATAATACACCAGGGATAAGCTTCAGGAGTCTTGCTCCAAACCTGCATCTACACGAAATTAGATCTAAACAACTTGCCCTGCATATGACCATCAACCAAACATAAATCCAAAATAGAATAAAATATCTTACTGTCCAAAAAACAGCATAAAACAAAACCAGGAAAATTTGGAGTGGAGAGGAAATAAACCAATTCAGACGTCATAATATTCTAACAGCCCCATAACTAAAATAAAAAAGTGGTTGATGTACCAGTTTACAGCAAATTAACAACACAGTTCAATTTAGGGGAAAAGTCAGGAAAGTACATATTGAAAAAACCTTGACATTGCAGTTCACTAGTAAAACCAAAAATCCAGTTCAGCTTCAGTTTATTTTTCAAAGCTAAGTCATATTTTTAGATCAAGTTTCAAAGCGCAATCTAATTCAAATCTCACCCTCCAAATTCTGCAACTGAATTACAAATTCAATAGTTCAGATTTAATCCACCTATAACTGATTTCAAACAGAATCATAACAGAATTTCAACTAACAGTAACTAACTTCCTAATATCTCTTAACTAAAACTAACACCTAACAGAACCAAGTAACTTCCAATAAAAACTAACTTACCAACTCATATCCTAACTGATTGCTAACCTTCCAATTAACTCTGTAACAAACTCTATCAGTATAAAGCAGAGTTTCAGATTTAGCCAGGGAGAAGAGATACAATTCAATGCTTTCACTCAAAACCATTTTCAAGTAAGGACATGTTAATTTACTTCTATGCCAATGCGTGAGTCTCTAAAGGTCTAGCTACGGAAGAAGGCGGAATTAACACTGTTCATAAAAAAACACAAAACAAACAAAACATGTGAGTCGAACTACGGTAAAACTGATTCCTCAAAAAGGATACATAGGCATTGGGGTAGGGCCCAAGCGAGCATAACTTTATTTTCCTTACATTAATTTCTCATTTATTTTGCATGCATTCTTCCTCATTATTAAGCAGTAAGCATAAATTAGATACACCCATAAGATAGACAACAAGAGTGGATACCGTAGAGTACTATGGGCGTGTGGGGTGATAATATCTTCCTCTCGTGTAACAGGCTCCCTTACCCAATCTCTCGGTCACAAGACCGTGACTTCTCCCTTCTCAATTTTTATCGATGTTTACCTTTCCCTTCATGTGGGATAAAAGACGTTCGATGGAGACTTCATTGTTTGATGATTTTCAGCCGGTTGTTTCAGCTGGCGACTTCACAGGGGATAGGTCGACCAAATGCTGGTCCATCCCAGAGTCACTCCTACCTCTTTTTTCATTTTCTTTGGGTGTTTATTTTTATGCTTTATATTCATTCATTCATACATGTTTACCTGAGCATATGTATGCATTGCATTTTACTATTTTCCATATACTATTGTTGTACTGGATCTGCTTCTTGTTTGGGTGGGTGTTGCTATGAGGTAAAAGGCCTAATACCCAGGCCAAAGTTGTATACCACTAGGAACCCTAGGAATAGAGTGGAACATGAACGACTATTCGACTTTGATTTGCTAGTACGATCATGTCGTCCATGCTCAGATGAGGTACAAATGAGGTGCTACCGTTTCACGTAGGTGTTTCAACGATAGTGGCCTCAGGCGGATCCATGATTTATGAGTTACCCTTGCCTTACCTTGACCTAGTTTACACCCGTGAGTGGGGATAGTATTATTATCACTGGTACAAATGGTGACTATGTTCATATGGTTACTCATGTTCAGACGGTGGTTATTTGTTCTAATGTTTATGTTCTGGATTTCTGTTGGTGACTAGGAAGTTCTCATATTTATTTTGAGTTCTGAATATGATGTTCATGAGGTTCTTTCGGTTATGTCCCAAACCTGTGATCCTGGTACTAGAAGACTATGCAGAGACAGTACAGTAGAAATCAATATCATGGAAGTAGTAATCCAATGGTCACTTGCACTTACATCATAACATGTTTACTTGCAAAGGCTTTCTCTTCCACTTCTACTAGGTTCCTTATTCCCCTTAATGGAATTCCCAAAGACTCTATTGCTGGGATTACTCCTGATAATCGGGTGTCTTAAAAGAAGCTGGTTACAACTACGACAACATCATTGATCTTAATGGACCACCAGGTGATCTCGTTGTTGATCCTGCTGAAACTACTAAAATGCATCATGTTACTAAGGAGCGTGTTGATGCCATGGAAACTTCTAAGACTTCTAGTTTCAATGCCACTACCATATGCCTAGTACATGAGATTATTATCCCTTCAGAGTTCAAGATTCCTGATTTTGACAAATACAAAGGTGATAGTTATCCAGAAGCTCATCTTCGTCACTACTATAGCAAGATGGTAACTCATGCTGATAATGGACCATTACTCATGCACTTCTTTCAAGATAGCCTAACAGGGGAACCGTTAGAATGGTATATGCGGTTAGAGAGAAATCATGTCAATACATGTGGAGAGCTTGCTAATGCTTTCTTGAAACATTAACACCATGACACTGCTATGGCCTATGATTGGAGACCTTGTAACCTTATCTGATTATTTTTTATGGAGCTCTTAAGGTTTACCTCAAGGCATTGGGTTGTTTGTTTGTTTTGTGTACAGTTTATTGTGATTACACTCTTTGTTTGTAATCTGGAATTCACCCGTATACAACCATTACTCTACCCAATTTTTGTGAAGACTTAATACACTTGAAGTTTGGTTCTTTCAAGAGGTCGAGTATCATTGATTGTTTGGTTTCAATCCAAAGAATGTGAGTTCTATCTTGGCTCATAGTGTCAAGTATTGGCTTCTTGTTAGTTAGATGGTTCTTATCCCTAGCTTTTACCTCATGCTTTAGGATAGTCCCTTCTTCTCCTCCCATCTTCTTTAATTTCAAAAATCTTCTCTCTCCTTTTGAAAAACTCTTTTTTTTTTTAACTTGAACAACTTTCAAAATAAGCTTGGACTTAGGTCCATGCATTTTCAAAACATTTTCGTAATAAACTTCAATAAACTTAATAATACTTTGACATTTTTTTTTGTGAGAAGACTAAAAGTCAATTAATCTCATTTCAAACCATTTTTCCACTTTAGCTTTTATCTTTAAACTTTTCTCAAAAAGATTGGACTCTTGTAAATCCTTGTAGTGATGCAAACAACTATACTTCTATAATATCTAGTGAAGATAGATATTTTCCACTTGGGTGTTGAGTGAGGCATTGTTGATTTTAAAATCAAAGCCATATCCCCCACTTTGAGATGATGAAAATTCTCATTTCTCATAATTGTGGGTAGTAAGTATGTTTTCCACATGGACAATGATGATGATGTCTTATCTCATAAAATTAACAAACACACTTGTGTTTTAAAATTTTTAAAAGAGGAACTACGTGTACCCTGATCCCCTATTGCACGAAAGGTGGTATGTAGGCACTAAAGGTTCGCAATCGCGGCGGGTGCGAAAAACCATAAAAATATATTTCTTTTCTCACCTCCACCATCCATTTTTATACAACATTTTTATAGCCAAAATATACAGTTTTTACAAAGAGGTTCATGTGGAGTACCATAGATGTTTAGGGTGCTAATACCTTCCCTTTGCATAACCAACCCCCTTACCTTGAATATTTTCCCCTTTTTGGGTTATTCGCTCTTTTCCCATTCCTTTGGAAACAATAAAGTGCGGTGGCAATTTTATTTTGATTTGTATAAGTCTAGTCAATCCCATGCTTAGTCTTAAACATTTCTACCGCTACAGAAAAGTAGAGACTTCACTGGGGAAAGATTGACCTCTTGCTGGTCCATCCCTAAGTGGGTTGATCCTATCCTTGTTTATATTTGTGTACGTGCTATTGTTGTTTATGTGTTATATGTTGTTTATATGTTTATCTGGATTTTCCTGGTTTTCAGGATGCTTGGTGATTACTTATAAGTCCTATACCCGGACTTGGGCAAACTTTAAAATAGGATGGGCGGTATAGTCATGTTAACTTTGAGGGAGTAATCCCAAAAAAGGAGGCATGAGATCCCGCACTTAGTGGAGGCCCCTTTGACTGTAGTGTCGTTTACCGAGTAATCCGGAAGACATACTACTTTCGACCTAGGAGCCTGCTGAAACTGAGGACCGTAGAATACCAAACCCATCTTGGCATTTTAGTTGTTGTGCGGAAGCTATGACGGAGTAATCCAGAAATAGTTGTCACGCGATACTATGCTCGGACGAGTTTTTCTTGAGAATATAACTAATTACCGAGTTAATCTGGAAGTTGGTAATATTCGAAGGAAGGATGTAGACTCTGGGAACCTTTAGAACCTTGTTCGGCAGGTGATAACTTTTATACCAATACCTTATGGGTAATACCTTCGACCTCATGCTCGTGATGTTGAACCTATGAACCCTATATGTGTGATCTTGTGTGTGATTGCTACATCATGCATCCATGCACTCATAAGCATCTTTTGAAGAGATCTTATTTCAAGGGATTTAAAAATTGACCATTTGTGAATATCTCAGGTACTTTTTAACCATGGATTCTGGAAAGAGAAAGACCGGGAAGTACAGTTTCAAGGATCCCAAGATAGATGGGTTGATCAGTCTAATCCTGAGATTGAGTGTTCTGTAGACTTTCGGAAGAAGTATGGATCCATCATTCCTCTCATTAAGCTGAAGATGAAGGAGGGTATTCTCTCGACCTTGGTCCAGTTCTATGATCCGATGTATCATTGCTTTACCTTTCCCAACTATCAGTTGATGCCTACACTGAAGGAGTATTCTTATCTGTTGGATTTACCCTTTACTGATCGTGTTCCTTTTGCTGGTTTAGAGGGTGATCCAAAACCACATGAGATTGCTGCTTTAATTCATTTGGAGAAGTCTGAGGTGGAAGCCCATATGACTACCAAAGGATGGATTAGAGGATTACCAACTCAGTTATTATTGGAGAAAGCTCTCTACTTTTCCAGGATGAAGAGTACAATCGCTTTTGAGGCCATCTTTTCTCTACTTGCTTATGGGTTGTTCTTATTTCCTAATGTGGACAGGTTTGTT